TTTCACATAGCATGTTTTCTAGGTTCATCTGCACTCAGATTTACTTTTAAGAGTATGCGTCCACCCACCCCCCATGTGTATGCACATACACACACATATGTGAGTAAAATCCCAGAGGAAATGTCAGATCCCCAGGAGCTGGAGTTACAAGCAACTGTGAACCACACAACATGGGTGCTGGGAATTAAACTGAGATCTGTGAGAGCAGCAAGTGCTCTTAACTGCTGTGCCATCTCTGCAGCCCCTCACCACATTTGGTCTGTATCCTTTCTGTACCTGCTTAGTACTCCATTTTCAGGGTAGACTAGTCCAGACTCTGTAGCACTTAAGCTGTTGAGGGTATAGCCACTGTGAACATGTGTGGACACGCTTGTGTCTGTATACCTGAGCTCTTTGCATTTCACTCAGGAATAGAATTGCAAGGGTACACTTGTTTTTAACAAAGGTACAATATACAGAACTTTCGAAGGACTCTTAAGTGTTGTCCTGTTGCATTTTTTTGCTGGTAGAAACCAAGTAACTTAAGGTTCGTAATAAGACTTGCTAACCATAGTGACTGCCTTATTTTCTGGAGCACTTAAGTACGGCATGATTTCTCCTTTATATTTTTCAATTGTGTTATGAGTAAGCACTTATGCTTCCTTCACTGACCTCCCAACTGACCTCCTCATTATCCTTCTCACTGATAAAACAATGATTAAATCCCATTTGGCGACTAAAGCACATGACAGAGATTAGACACAGGCCAACTTGACCCATCGTGACCAAAACCAGAAGACAACACAAATGTGCAGTGCTTCCGTGGGCCTCACTTCATCCTGCTCAAACCACACGTGCTTTTCCAGAGTCCTGTGACATCAGTCTCTTAATCACTGCAGCATCTGCTTGGGAAAAGCTGAAACTGAGATATGTTGGTTGATCTTCCGTAAGTGGATCATCAGTTCCAGGGTATTATTTCATTCCTGGCGTTGCTGTTGTCCCAGCTTACCGCCCTTTCCTAGACTGCTCAGGTTTGGGTTTTGTTCTCAAAATCTTTCCACCCCTCCTGAACCTGCAGTTTGCCTTACCCTTGTCCTACAGTTACGGAACATATACTGACCCCTCTCTTCGACTACAGCTCACTCTTTCCCAGAAAGTGTCATTTCTGCCTGTTTTTGTGATATATAGCCCTCCCGTGCCCCCCCCTTCCAAAGCCGTGCTTTGCTTTGGCTCGCTCGGCTCATGCTATTCCTTGTTCTACGTGAAAATCCCTTTAATCATATCAAATGTAGGAAACATTTCGATACTGGTCATTTTAATTTGAAAAGCCAAAATTTTTTTTATTTTTTATTGAAAAAAATTTCTGCCTCTTCCCAGCCTTCCATTTCCCTCCCCCTTTCTCCCTCCCCCCACTCCTCTCCCCCTCCCTCTCCAGTCCAAAGAGCTGTCGGGGTTCCCTGCCCTGTGGGAAGTCCAAGGTCCTCCCTCCTCCATCCAGGTCTAGGAAGGTGAGCATCCAGACTGGTTAGTGAAAAGCCAAAATTTTGTAACAGTATTATGTAAGTTATATGTTGGTGTGTGTTTTGAAGTGCTTTCCCACCAGAATTCCACTTCCTGTATATTCTTTATCCTTCAGCCATTTGCAAGATGGGCCTAGAAGGCACTGAATGCCATGTTGGTCGGCTTGCTAGCAGCATGCAGACTGATGTGATGAGCCCATGAGTGCAGTCTGGTGTCTCAGCTCTCAGGCACATGTGCAGATATGAAGCCCTTCCCAGGAAAATAGGATGTTATGCTGGGCTGGTGTGCAGTCTAGGATGAGAGCTAGGAATGCAGCTCTGCAAGCGGCTGAATAACAGTCAGTGTTACTGGATTTGTCTTTCACATGATGGACCAGCCCTGGTTAATGTAGACTCCAGAAGGGGAAGGGGACCTTCCTGGTCAGGCATCTCGGCCACAGCCATTGACAGCTCTGTGGTCAGAAGAGTCACATCTTCTGTTGTCAAGGTTTCAAGCTCCATGATTCCTTTCACACTCCCTGAAAAGCACCAATAAATACACTCTGCCCAACCTCTGCCGCCCAGTGTGCTGCACCCAGCTGCCAGCCTGTGCTCTGTGCTGTGCGTCCTACTAAGTTGGCGAGTAGAGTACTAAAGGGAGTAGCTCTTTTCTAAAGTCACCAGTCTATGCTGCGTGGTTCTGTATAACCAGTGCCTTCTGATCTCACTGCTCCTCACCCGTCTGTGTAATATGAACCAATTCGATAGTAGTATTTTCAAATTCACCAAGATTTGCAGTGTACTGAGGTGTCTCTGTTCCCCACCCTCCACAGCCAATGTCCACCAAGCACTACAACTGGCCTATGCCCCTGTCTACCTGCGCCTGTGTACTAGATATTGTGTGTCCCCTACTGTCTCCTTTGGGTATAGACAGGGTAAAGGAGCTAGGCGGCCAACAGACATAACTCACTGCTTCTAAGTCCGCCTCCTCCAGCAGTGCATACAGCAGAGGCCTTAGAGCAGTGCTGTGCATGTTCACTTTAGGGGAACTTAGACAGGGAATTTTGAGAACATCAGTTAAGTCATCTGCTCCCTTTAGGCAGAATGACCTAGGCTGTGCAGGGGTTGCTTATTTTGGCCATCTAGGAAACTGGATGAAAAACACAGGACTTGTGTGTGGTATTTGTTTTTAAAATTGGTGGTTGGTGCCTCTTCTCTGTGGTATGAGAAATGTATTACCTATTCTCTGCCTCTAGCTCCTCCTGGCACACAGCTCCTAAAATAGTTTCCTAGGTGGCAGGAGGAGGGGGTGAGTAAGCATCTTCTATGAGCCTTGATCTTGTCCTCAGTTCCTCTGTCAGGCTACTCAGTGTTGTCAGTGATGAGAACATCTGGAGTACATTAGATGATAGGTAGCAGGGCGCCCCTGATGACTCTGGGTACCTTTAGTTCCAGGAAGGCACAGATGGAATAAGAGGAAGGTTGGAAGCCCAGCAGAGGACCCCTCCCTGTGCATCTCTTCCATTGATCTGTTTCTTAATTGTGTCCTTTACACTAAAGCAGTAATCATAAATAAAGTCACCTTCCTGCATTTTGTGGAAGAGTCAGACAAATACTCAAGTCTGAGGAGGATGTTGTAGTATGAATAGCCTAGGCTAGGGACTAGTATTTGAAATTGGGAGAGTCCAGGGAGTCGTGCCTTCACTCAGAGTATATAGGGTCAGATTTGATTGGAATTGTTAGACATCAAGTTGCTATCCTCAGATTGAAGGGCGGAGCTACTCCTGTGCATTTGCAGTAAGGAGTGTTGGCCTGAGGAATGCTTTGGAATGGCATGCATCCATTCTGTGTGCTGGCTGCACGGCAGCAGATATACTGTACCCAAGACTGTCCTGTGCTTGTGGGTCCCTGAAGTTACCAGTGTGAAGCACAAGCTTGCTGACAGGATAACTGCTGATGCCTTGATCTCAATATGCAGAAAGTGTAGTGTTCAGTGTCTCCTAACTACGTGTTATGTTTGGGGTTTACTTTTTTAAGGGGCCATTATTGCTTCTGTGACCTTTCTTTGAGGATCCCTGGGAAGGAGGAACAGACACTGCTTGCTGCTGACAGGACCCTCTGAGCTGGAGTGACACCCTGATTCATTCCTTGGGATCCTCCCTGCTGTGACCACCTTAAGTACCACCCACCTTAGCCTCTCTACCTTAGCCTCTCCATCCCTGAGAAATGCTAGTGTCAGACGCATGCACGCTGTTTAATTGCTTTTACTTGGCTTTGCTCTCTGTGGCAGTTTGTATCAACTTTTTATGCTCTAAATGCAGTATCAGTAAAACTTGGTGGCTCAAAAACAAACCCGTCACATTTCTGTGTTCGGGTCTCATCTAGCATTGATAAGAAGATGTTTGTAAGAGCCATTGAGCAGTTCAGGCAGCTGTGCAACCTAAGGTAGGACTGTGCTCCCTGAGGCACGTAGGGTCTCCTGCCTTTTGTCCACCGTGTCTCTCCTCACCATTAGAGATACATGCATATTTTGTTTTAGCATGTTGGTAAGGTTTATGGACACCCCTAGTCATCCTAACCATAATTTAAAAATAAGAGCAAAGTAACTTAAAATAACTAGGAAAAAAGTTTCTGTTTTACTTGCTGTGTTCTTTTTACTAAATTGAATAGCTAGAGATGCTGTAAAAAGAATCTCCTTGAAAAATCGGGGGAGGGAATAAAATAATTTGACAAACTGGATGTCTGCATTTCCTGATGTGGGCCTTGTTTCTACAATTCTACAATTACCCTGTGGTGAACAACGACACCAGTTGATTATAGCTCTCTCAGTGCTTGTAGGGCTAGAGCCATTGTGTGTTTATGCAAAGACTATTAAAATTCATAACTTAGAAGTTTCTCTCTGGCCTAATTTATATTCATTCAGGTATCACTAAAACTATTTCTTTCCAATTCTTTCCTGGTGGAGAAGTCCTTCCAAACTAGCCAGTCTTTTCTTAAAGTAAATTGTTACTATTAACATAGAAAAATGTCAAGGAATCTCATATGTTGCTCCGAATGAGATTTCCTTTGAACAAGTCATTATATATAAGCTAACTACCAATTTGCTTGAGTACTGTGTGAAGTATTTAAATAGGAAATGCCTAGCATTCATCATAAATTCAAATTATTAACTAAACAAAAGAATTGCTAAGTAGATTCAGAATTCACCAGCAAGCAGAATCACAAAATATTTTTTTTTTTACAACTTAGTGCCAAGTAATGTCTTTTCTTATCTCCTTTCTTAAGACAAGACCTCACCCTACATGTAGTTCAGGATATCTGAAACTCAGTTTGCACCCTGGCTGGCTTCAGATCTGCAGTGGCCCTCTTGCCTCAGCACCTTGAGAGCTGGGGTTACAGACATGGCTACCACACTCAGCTTCCCATTTGATTTCCTTCTGGTTAGATAATACAGTGGGTGTTTAGTAAAGGAACTGCAGGGCTTGGGGCTACAGCTGCTAATATACTCTTTTCTTCCCACAGTGCTCCAGCTGAGGCTGCAACAAAGGAGGACAAGAGAACAGCTAGTGGACCAGGGCATCATGCCACGTAAGACCTAGTCACTGTTGTCTCTGGTGTGTGGGGACTGATCTCTTTGTAGTTTCCGCGAGGGCTCATCTGTGAGGAGAGCCAGGTGACAGCATGGCCCCGCTAGGAGGAGAACCCTTAGTACATCTTTTTAAAAGTGGGCTTGACTTTTACAGTAATGAAGAATGCCTTTAAGACACTGTAAAGTTCTTTTTCAAAATATTTATTTATGTATTTTAGGTATATGAGTGAGTGTTCTACTTGCATGTATGCCTGCAGGCCAGAAGAGGGCACCAGATCTCATTATAGATGGTTGTGAGCCACCATGTGGTTACTGGGAATTGAACTCAGAACCTCTGGAGGAGCAGCCAGCTCTTAACCTCTGAGCCATCTCTCTAGCCTCTCTGTGGCATTCTTATCTGTGGGCTTTAATGTCTGTTCAGACTTTGAACTCTGCTGGTACATCTGAGGTTAGACCTGTAAGAGTAATGTGATACCATTAACTCATGACCTTCAGAATTCTACCTGAAGTAACTCAAGGTCATTCTCTGTGGTGCTGGGCTGTGATCTACCTGATTGTATGCATCTTGGATTTGCAACTGACAGAAAGCTATTTACAGCTAGTTAGTTTGGTCTTTCTGGCCTGAGTACACTTGTTTCCTTCAAGAGATTCATAATTCATAAGAGTTGATTTTAGAATATTTATCTAAACTGTTTTCTTTACCTTTAACCGCCGGCTTTGGGAGGTTTAGAGGGAAGAATAGTTGTTTTCTATAGACCATGAAATTGTATAGCTGGACTTTGTTTAGAAGCTAACTTCTCTAGAAGTTAATTTATCCCGCTTTAAACCACTAGAAATTACAGAGCAAACAAACAAACTCATTTCCAGCCCAGAAATAATTTATCAGTTAATGAAGATGAGGAATGTTTTGTTTGTTTAACAGTTTTTGTCATCCATGAAGCTTTTATAGACTACTTACTGTTAGTCATCTAAGTATCTTAAGTCCAGCTGTGGTCGCCCAAAGCTGCTTTGAAAATCTGCTAGGCATCTCCACCACCACAGTCCTCCCCCAGCCCGTTAATCAATAGCGTCAGATAATGATGCTTAAGGTATACTGCTGCTAGATCAGCCCAGGCTGGTGTAGAGAGCTGGTCCTCAGCCATGCTGGCAGGGATAGGTTCCTGGGAGCCTCTATGGTGTCCCAAGGACCAAACTAGAAGATTATGCTCAAGGCAACCTTCACAGGGAAGCCTAGTCCTATCTCCCACTCACTGGCCTGTGCCCATGGTTTTCACGTGCTGCTCTTGCAAGACAGTGCTGGATGTACACAAATCAAGATTCTTCAAAGGTGATAGGCTGAAATACAAATACCACATCCCCTCATGATACAAAGAACATAACCCTTTAAATTTAGAATACAAGATTTAAATCTCAGTTTGGCCAGCATTTAGCTATATGACCTCAGGGACTTGCACACATCTTATGCTGGGGCTCACACTCACCTTGCAAGTTTATTTGGGAGACCAACAGCAGTCTTAACTGTGCTTCACCACAGAGTCCTGCAGTTGTGAGTTCTGAATAAATGAGTGCTGTGTGTCCCTATGTTCAAGTTCCAGAGCCACATGGGTTTTGTCTAGCAGCCTGTATGAGCACTATGAACAAAGACCGTGGAAGTCCCCAGGCCTTGGATTGGTCCAGCCTGGCACTTACCAGTTATTATACAGCAGCTCTGTTTGGAATGTCCACTGTTTTGTGATCTACATCATTTCATTGGGTAACAGTGAGGTCTTCACATTTTGGAGGGGTTTCATAAAGGAACTTTAAATAAATGTCAGCACAGATGTGCATTGCCGGGGTTAGAGTGGCAAGCTAAGATATGGTGCTGTTTATGCTGTGGAAACCATTTGTTTTCTTCTTAACAGCTTTGAAGAGTCCGGCAGCATTCCATGAGCAGATAAAAAGCTTGGAGCGAGCCAGAGTAAGTAATTTCACTTTTTAAAAAAATCTTTATTTCTCATTTGTATCCTAGGCGCCAATATTCCTAAATATATTGATTTAGAATGCACACATTCTCTCCAAGAAGTGCAGTGTAGATAGCACGCACTCTGGGGTAGATAGATTTTTAGGTGTATAGAAAGTGGGTGACAAGAAGTGCGGTGTAGATAGCACAAACTGTGAGGTATAGAAAGTAGGTGATAACTCAGTTTGTTCTTTTAAAATCAGCTCTGCCAAAAGAGATGGCTCAGTCAGTAGAGCGTTTGCCACAGAGCTGAGTTTAAACTCTGCCCCCATATAAAGCAAGCCTAGGCCTGGCAACTCACACCTATAATGATCCCAGCACTGAGGAGGCTGAAGCAAGAAGATCCTTTGTGCTTGCTGACCAGCAAGGCTTACCAACTGGGTGAGCTCACCTGACATCAGCCTCTGTCCTCTACATGCATGTGCTCACACGTGTGCACATGTACATGCATTTTCCCAACATTCTCATGCACGCTCTCATGCCCCATACTCTACATGCATACACTCACATGTGTGCACATGTACATGCATTTTCCCAACATTCTCATGCACGCTCTCATGCCCCATACTCTACATGGATATGCTCACACGTGTGCACATGTGCGTGCATTGTCCCCGCACACATACCCATAAGATAAACAAAACAGTAACTACCCTAGGGTTTCTGTTGCTGTAAAAAGATACCACGACCATGGCAACTGTTACAAAGGAAAACATTTAATTGGGGTGGCATATAGTCCAGAGGTTCAGTCCATTATCACCATGCTGGGACATGTTGGTGTACAGGCAGACATGGTGTTGGAGAAGGAACTAAGAGTCCTACATCTTGATCCATAAGTAGCAGGAAGTATACTATGTCACTGGGAGTAGCTAGAGCTAAGAAGACCTCAAAGCCTACCCCCACAGTGACAAACTTCCTCCAACAAGGCCACACCTACTCTGACAAAGCCACACCTCATAAAAGTGCTATTCCCTTTAGGGGCCATTTTCTTTCAAACCACCATAGTAACTGAAGATAAATTGAAAATAGACACCTGACATCAGTCTCTGTCCTCTTCATGCACATTCTCACACATGTATACATGCATTGCCCCCACACTCTGTATGCAAATGCTCACACATGCATTAATGTATTATCCCCCTACATGTACATGCTTTACCCCCGACACTCTACATGCACATACACATGTATGTCTTAACCCTCCCATATGCACATGCTCACACATGTACATGCATTACCTCACACACACTCTACATGGACATGTTCGCACATGTACACATGTGCATATATTACTCCCATACATACCCATAAAATAAGAAACAAATAAAAGTAACTAGTTCATTTGTTTTCAGGGCTGTGCTGACTGGCTTCTTATTAACTTGACATAAGCTAGAATCATCTGAGAAGAGGGATCAATTGAGAAAGTTTCCCCACCAAACCGAAAAACCTTTAGGGCATTTTCTTGACTGATAACTGATATAGGCAGGCTGGGCTGCTGGTCCTTGGTTTTATAAGAAAGCAGGCTAGGGCAAAACCAGAGTCTAACGGACAGACTAGGCAAGTGCCTCTGCTGTTTATTAGCCCTGCAGAAAGACATGGAAGCCATGTTGATTTCCCTGTGGATCAGTGTCACTGTTCATTTGCCGAAGGATTGAGAACACAGCTAAATAAAGAACATGCTACACTCAACTGCGTTCTTGAAAGTGGTTCTTTTGTGGGCACATGTCACATACGTGCTCAGTGCCATTGTGCCCATTCTTTCTGTGTTGCCGGGGGAAGGGATCTGTTAATGCAGTAGGAAAATAAGAGTGTTATAGGAGTTTCTTATCACTGTCCAGAATGCAGTAACAAGCTCCTAGACCTATTGTTTGGGTGTTGAGTGCAGTTTTAGAGAATGTGCTAAGAACGCAAATAAAATATGTTATTATTTTTAAGAATTTTAGTACCTAAATAAATTTCTACTTTTCTAAGTATTGGTTTCATATAAAGGGATTAAATATTATGTTTATTTAAAGCTCATCTTAAAATTTTGAGCTTTTCTTAGTTTCACTGTAAAGCTCTGTAAAGTAGTTATTTTATACTAATACATGTCAAACCCCTGGACGATACTGAAGCCTACATTGAAGTCTTATGCTAGATAATAGTTCTCCTAAGCACTAATGTCTGGTTACTCTCTCAAAGACACAACAAAAAGGGGTTTTTAATTTATTTTTGAAGAAAATCTAAAGCTACGATAAATCATGAACAACATTTTTTTTAAAGACTGAAAACTTTCTGAAGCACAAGATCCGGAGCCGCCCCGACCGCTCTGAGCTGGTCAGGATGCACATCTTAGAAGGTAAGGTTTGTGTCTGCGTGAGGTCCACCATTTCCGTCTGTTCCCAGCTTAGTAACTTTTACCCCACGGGCAGACGTCCTTTAAATTGGATAGCATTGTGAAGACTCAAAACCTGATGCCTGGGGAACCTTTGCACTCTAGGCAGTCACTTGATGAGCTGGTTCCTAAGTTTCACTTGTACTGTCCTAGAAGGACTTTTTTGGTCCGTAGGACTTCTCTATCATGAGAGAGAGAGAGGTGTGTCATTAAATCAGTGCACACAGTGCACACATCTAGCCCTAGGTTTTTGACAGCTTGGGTCTCATTGATATTTACCCAAAATGATGCCTTCACATGTTCCTACTCCTTTGTGTTGCTACTTCCTTCTGTAATGGTCTTGACCTGAGTATTACTAATCGCCTCTGAATGATGTAGTCTTAGCCCTTCAGAATACATGGCTCACATGGATGCCCCTCTCTCTAGGGAAGCCATTTTGAAAGGCAGCATCTTCATCAGAATTTTCCAGAGTTCTATTTCTCCCATCATTCTGCTTCTGTGACTGATTTACTAAGCAAGAGCAAGGGCTTGATCCTTTGAACAGTCTCGAGTGTGTTAGGCTTTAAGGAGAATCTAGAAACATTGCAGATATTTAGAGACAGTGTGGGGCAGAAAGAGCCTGTGTTCTCCAGGCCTAGTGACAGATTAGGATGATTTTCACATGCAGGACAGCAGCCTGGTAGCTCAGACACAGCCAAAGGTGCAGTTCTTCAGGAGGCTGTGCATCCACTGGTCCAGAGCTAGGGACTGGGGGCCCAGTAGTGAGCAGGTAAAATTGCCTGCCTTTGAGCACCACATGCTTCAGGGGAAGACAGAAAAGGGAACAGCCAGGCAGCTATGACTGAGAAAGGACACAGATTGATAACTGTATTAGAATGTGCTCTGAAGAAGTGCCAAGTGCCATCTTGGGCTCCACAGACCTGAAGAGTGTGTTCTCCTATCTGTGACCTGCTTGGTCCTGAGCAGGAGGTGAGAGATGTTACCTTTCTCCACCATGGGTTGTGTTCTCAGAGGTTCCCTGAATTAAAGAACTTTTCAGATTCAGTGTTAGGATAGAGTACTACAGATTTCAGGGATCATCGACTTGAGCAAGCCCTCCACTAAATAACACAACAAAGAACATGTGATGTGCGTGTGCGCACATGTGTGTGTATATACAGTGCTGTCTATATTTGCCTTCTGACTCTAGAAGATATCATTAATAGAATTAAAGTAAAAAGAAATACACCTACCCATGTTTTTCTTTTATAAAAAGAAAAGAAAAAAGGAAGAAAGGCCAGGGGTATGGAGAGATGGCTCAGCAATTAAGAGCATGTTGTATTGGTCTTGTAGAGAACACTTTTTGGTTGGAATGCACATGTCAAGCAGCTCACAACCTCCTGTAACTCCAGTTCCAAGGGATCTGATGCCTTCTTCTAGCTGCCATGGACACCAAGCACATACATGGTACATATCACACATGCAAGCAAAACATCCATACACATATTTTTAATATAAGAGTCTATACTGAAACATGCATTCTCAAGTTGAGATCTGAAGAATGAGAAAAAATATATCATCTTTAATTTTTGAATTACTTTATTCATATATTTTGACATTAACCTAATTTAATTGAATTGCAGTATTTGGCAGGTTAGAGTCTACATTGTTTTCTGAACTTCAACAGCAAAAATTGAGCCTCGGCTTCATGGAGTTAAGGCGGAAGTGAGACAGACAGAACCTGCCAGGCTACTTTGGGAAGACTTCCCTTGCAGGCTTATTGCTGCTCTCACTTAAGGTGTTAAGGGAGAAGGGAGTGAGACTGAAGGCTCTCCTACTTTGAGCTTCACAGAAGCATCGAAACAACAACAACAACAAAAACCCAGCAACATGGTTGACTGTCTGATCCTGTTTTCCCTGCACATAGTGTTCTGTACAGTGCTGTGTGCTTCACCTCATAAGAGCTCAGAATCAACTCGGAATTTGGGCTCATAGCTCACCACATATTTTTAAACTAGCAAAAACATAGCTCAAGACAATGGGAGGTGATGCTAATGGCTTACTCCAGGCAACAACTGACAGGAAGCAGAAGCATTGGGAGAGCTACAGTGGCTTCATGTCCTTTGTAGCAACTCAGCCATTTTAAGTGTATGAGCGGGTGGTTCTGCACACCACAAACTCTGTGTAAAATGAGGGGTTTGTTCCGAAATAAACTCAAATTCTTAACAATGATAACTGACCCTGAGATACAGTCAGCCCAAGAATATTAATTATAGCTCTTCCCACTGAAGAAAGTAAGGAAACGTCTATCCTAAGATTTAGTGCCTCTGTTTCTAGGAACTGTCTTTCTAGTGAAGCCAAATGAGACCTGTCCACTTGTAGAGCTCTGGGGCACATGTGTCTTCATGCTGTGTCTCCCCGGTACCTAGTCCATTGTTCTAGACAGACCTGCCCTCCTGGTGTAGGCAGATGGTGCTAGTTCCCATTTCCGGATTCAGTTCATGGTCATTCAACCCTGGGGTCTCTGTGTCGCATAGACAGGTAGCTGCCCGCTCTGAGAGAAACAGAATCTACCACACAATCTGAGCAGTCACTCTCTCCTTGCAGAGTGTAACCCTGTTAAAGTAGTTCAGTTCAGTTACTTGGTCCGATAGGTGCCATGGTTAAAGCTTACACTTGGTCCTGCAGAAACGTTTGCAGAGCCGTCTCTGCAGGCCACGCAGATGAAGCTGAAGAGAGCTCGACTGGCAGACGACCTGAACGAGAAGATCGCTCAGAGGCCTGGACCCATGGAGCTGGTGGAGAAGAACATTCTTCCTGTGGACTCGAGTGTCAAGGAAGCAATTATAGGCAAGAGTAACAGTTTCTGTCTTTCACAGGAGTTTTAAATAAAACGGATTTGATTAAAATGCAAGGGCATTATTTTCTTGGTTAACTAGAAGCTGATAAACATCTATTTTGTTGCAACTGTTTTGTTATAGATTAGAAAATGGCCTCTGCTGCCAGTAGCCTGGATTTCCATTTTATGTCGGAGTGACTTCTGATACCATTATCACACATCTAAGATAAATTACTGTATTGTGCCATTTCATTTGTACTGTTTGATATTGTTAGGCTGTTCATTATGTCTATCTAGGAAGGTAATAAGCTTTACAGGCAAGGAGAATGGCCTGTGGATTTCCTGCACTGTCTGCCTCACCTGCTCTTACACTTGGCTTGTACTGCTCATTCTGTTGTTACTTGAACCCAGGCCCACTCTAACACACAGCGGATGGCCAGGGTCACTGATGTGTTCTTTGTTTCTGGCATAGTTTTAGCAGGAAAACAAATGAATAATGATACTCATTCAGCACAGTTTTGTTGTTGTTTTCGGGGATTTTTGTTTTTGCTTGTTTTATACTAACTGAAAAACTAACTAGTACAGCTCTCGTACTCCTGAGGACTTCATACTGAGCTAGTGTGAGTTTAAAGCTTAGGCAGTTTGTGATTACAGAATTCTGAAACATGAAGTCAACTCTGATTCCAAACATTGGGGAAGATAGCCTCCAAGGTAAGGAGAGTGTGAGTGTAGGTGTGCTGTCCCTTGAATGGAAGCTAGCATGCAGACTGCCTTAACACTCTCACTTTCCTGGATCGCCCTCTTGCTGTGGTGTTCTCCAGTGTCATTGAGAAGCCTCCCCTCCCGGCCAGGCTGCAGAGCGGTGCTGGTGCTCTGACTTCATGGCCTGCTGGTACCGAGCCCTGAGCTCCATCCCCAGCACCACAGGAACAAAAGCAACAGCAGAGCACTCCTGCCCTTCCCACAGCTGCTAGCTAGACCCGAAATCTTTGATCTGGCTAGAAAAACATCAAACCCCAAAGAGTACATGACAGACAAACTGTGGTTCCTGCTAGAACAGCCTCCAGTTCTGTAGCAGTGTGGCTTCCGTCTGGGAAAAGCCAAGCTTTAAAGCAGCTTCTAAAACTCCCCTTTCTCAGTCAGCCTTGGGGTTCTCTCTGCAGGGGTGGTGAAGGAGGACTATCCCCACATGCACAGGGAGTTCTCATTTGATGAAGACAGCAGCGATGCCTTGTCTCCAGACCAGCCGGCAAGCCAGGAGTCTCAGGGCTCAGCAGCATCCCCCAATGAGCCAAAAGTTAGTACCTCACCACCTCCTGGGACTGCGAACACTCCGACCCAGGTAAGACCTTCCTAACATTCTTGCAGACTGTGTCAAGACAATATTTTTACCAGAAGAAAAATCTGAAATTACTGATGCTTCCTGCCTATGAGTCAGACACTGTAAAAGTGCACAACTGGCTCTCACTTAATAGTTCTAATGTACACATACACATACACTAGTCTAGCTTTTGGTGCTCAATAAAGCACCAAAAATTTAATTAAGCTTTCCGAATGACTTGAAAATCTGTAGATGTTTGGTGTGTTAATTTGAATGTATCTGGGCCCCATAAGCTCATAAAGAGTAGCAGTGTGTGTCCCTGTGGGAGTGGACCTTGAAGTCTCCTATGCTCCAGCTACACCTAGTGTCACAGTTCACCTCATGTTGCCTGCAGATCAAGATGTAGAACTCTCAGCTCCTTCTCCAGCACCGTCTGCCTGCACACTGCCATGTCCCACCATGACAGTAATAAACTAAACATCTGAAACTGTAATCTACCCAATTAAATGTTTCCATCATCAAAATTGCTGTGGTCATGGTGTCTCTTCACAGCGATAGAAGCCCAGGGCAGATGGCGTGGGCAGTGATGGTCCAGATCTTCTGTCCAGGCTCCCAGCGTTGTTGAGACAGGACCTAAAAGGAAACTGAAGTTTCTTTGTTTTGTTTTTACTGTTTGTTGTTGTTTTTTTTTTTTTTTTCAAGACCTGACTGTCTAGAAACTTATTCTGTAGACCAGGTGGGCTTTGAACTCAGAGATCTGCCTGCTTCTGCCTCCCGAGTGCTGGGATTTCAGGCATGTGCCACCACCGCCCGGCCACAACTGACACACTGAGTTCTGAGCAGATGGAGAGAAGGGAGGCCCCTACTGTGTTCTCACAAACTGCTTCACCCTGGCTTAAGCTTTAAAAGTAGGCCTAGAAAGAATGCCAAGTGTGTAAGTAAATAAATTTTAGAAAAGAGTTTTTCTTAGCCATCTGAGTTACTTTTCTGCTTGTGTCTGAGTAGGTCAAGCTGTAAGACAGGCATTCATGTGGCTGCAGCTTTGGTAACAGGATTGTCACCTCCACCCCCTGGTAACGGCTACTTGGGGCTGTGATGGTTGATCCTTATTATCAGGTTGACTAGATTTGGAATCAGGTTGGAGATACAAGCAAGAAAGCATCTGCTGAGGGTGTTTCCCAGAGCTGTGTAGCTGAAGAGAGGACGCGCAGGGTGGTGCCGCCCCATGGATGGGTCCCACTGGATAAATCAGAAAGAAGCCAGGTGTTTATTGGTTCTGCCACCAGATATACACAAGTAGCCTTCCACTGCTGTGCCTTCTCCACCATGATGGGCTGTCTCTAAAGACCGTGAGCCAGAATACCCCTTCCTCCTCAGCTCCTAGGCAGGTATTTGGTCACAGCAACAAGGAAAGTAAGGACCATAGAGGCTCTCCCTGCTAGAGAGATTACCATTCTCTCAGTCACACCCAGGCTCATGAAAGTTGGTCCCTCTCCAGGCTGAGAAACTTTAACCAGAGGCAGTCCTACCAGGCTGGCACTGTGATGCCCGTGGAGGGAAATGGCAATGGCAATGTCTGTCAGAGAATAAGGACAGATTGCTTATTGCCAGAGCAGTGCACACGAGCCTCAGCCTGCTTCCTGCACGGAGGCACTGAGCCTCGCCTGCCGTCAGGGTGACTGCAGCACTGGGCACCTGCTCCACAGTCAAGGATGGCTCCACTGTAGTGTCGCCTTGCAGGCAGTGTCTAGCCTCTGTGTAAGGAGCTGGTGGTTCTTACACTTGTGCTCGTGTGTCTGCACGAGCCTGGCAGCTGAGAACAGGAAGCCCTCAGTAGTGCTGTAGTAACCTTGTCAGGGTCTGTTCTGTTGTCAGCTTTTCAATTAAGTACAGAAGCAAGCCTTATGTCAGTAAAGTCTCAGATTTTTTCATCTTCTAGAATTGATAACTTTTATTTTGACAATTTTTGAACTTTATTGTATTTTCCCAGCTTTCTTTTTGTTGTTTTTTTAAGACAGTGTTTCTCTGTGTGTAGCTGGAACTTGCTCTGTAGACCAGTCTGGCCTCAAACTCAACAGAGATCTGCCCGTATCTGCCTCCACACCCAGCTTTTCCAGGTTTCAGGTTTCTTACTTCTCTTTCTTTCTTTTTTTTTTTTTTTTTTTTTGGTTCCCTTTCTCATGACTGTGAGCAAAGACCTGACAGGAGCAGCTTAAGAGGAAAGGATCTGTTTTAGCTTGTAGTGTGTCAGGAAGAGGCATGGCAACAGAAGAACTGTCTCTTCACATTGCACTGCAGTCTGGAAAAGAGTGACTAGGAAGCAGGCCAGCCTATAAAAGCTCAAGGATGATCCCCCAGTGACCCTCTTCCTCCAGTAAGTCTCCACCTCTTAAAGGTTCCACAACCTTCCAGATACCTCCACCTACTCAGGACTAAGCATGGGGGCTCATGAAGGGTATTTCACATTTAAACACATATGTAAAATCTATTAATATTTACCTACCTAAATATAATTACTCTTCCATTTCCTTCAAGGGAAAGGACATTAACATATTGCTCCTCGCCAGATATCAAGTTCTGAGACTACAAGATAGGCATTTATTTTATAGAAACACAGAATAAACAAGCCCAACACACAATACATATTTACTGATTTAATGAATGAGACACTTTAGGAGATTGTTAAGGTCCCCCAAAGGCCTGTGTATGCAACGCTGCCAGCTGGTGGGCTTGAGAGCTGAGTGGATCATGAAGGCACAGAGTTCATCAGAAGTTCTAGCCAAATGGGCTGTTAGGAGGTGAGGTCTGGCAGGAGAAAGAGTCTGTCTGTCCCCAGCCTCTCCACCTTCCTTTCCTCACCATAGTTCTCCCCTGTCATGGGCCGGAAAGCAGCATAGTCACTGAAACCACAGATTAACAGTGAAAACTGAACACAGATCCCCGCCAGGTAATTTTCAGCTTTAGAACTCATTCCATCCTTAAAGAGGACGCACTGCAAATGGAGTGCAGCTTGTTTAATGCTTAAGCCGCTCATGAGCAGTGGTTTTACATGTGGTGCAAGGGTTACTGCCCCTTTTGTCTGCAGACTCTTCTCTCGGGGTTTCTTAGTCCTCTATCTAATTGATCACCATGCTGTCCAACGTCTGAGCATGATCTGCTAGCCTTCTGTGAACTCCCAAAGCCTAGTATTCCAAGAAGGAGCTGTTAACCAACAGCCCTGCTAAGCTGTTTGCCATGTCCACTCTTCCACTCTCTCCCCTGCTTCCAAGTTACCACGAGGTAGTGGGCCATCTCCTCCATACACATCTACCAGGACGGTCTCGTGCCACAGTAACAGGACCTGTGAAACCATCAAACTGAATAAACCTTTTCCCTTAACTAAAGTGATTGTCTCAGGCTGTTTGTCATAGTAATAGTGTAAATGCTCCAACTCAGATGGAAAGGCACCTGGCAATTAGTAGCCAAGAAGTACCATAAAGTCATACCAGTGACACAACAAAACTCACACAAAAGGTTTATTGGGAGTGGGAAAGAAACTGGACAGTGGCTGACTCTGCTTGGGTAAGAAACAGCAGAAAACTGAGCAAAAGGCAAGGTTTATATTGTTTCTTGTGGGGAGGCTGGAACTTTTGTGAAGCTTTCCAGGGTGGGGACTGAATGGGTTTCAAGTCTGTTTATAGGGTGGGAGCTTCATCCGGCTGTTAGGGCAGTTATAGAGTGTTCTCTGAGTGGAACCTGGCAGTTGAAGGTCCTCAGGGGAGGGGCATAGGCACTCATATGCCTTGAGGGGCTTAGAAATAGCAAACTAACTAGTTCAATAATAATATATAGGCAAATATTGAAACCTTCTGAAAACTTCTATTTTTATACAGAATTTTTTTTAAATTATAAATCTGTGGTAATAACTGGTTTATAACAATTTGTGCTCTCGCTAGTACAGAAGAGAGCTGGGGATGAGTACACACCCTTTGTTTTCACACTCAAGAAACCAAAACAGGACTGGTGCCTTCAGGTCCGGGAGGCCATAAAGCAACATCTCCAATGTGACTGGAGCTGGTCTTAATTACAGCTCTCAATGTTGTACACTTGTCACAGTAACCAAAGACAATGCATTAAAAAAACTATACAGAAAGAGAGAAGGAAGTCAGGACAGCACTACAAAAAAAGTCAGCCGACAGACTTGTAAGCATTGCAGCTCTGATGGAAAGGACCCTGGCTGTTAGGATCCAAGGAACAACACAAAGTCACCCTAGAGCATAGACACTTACAGCTCTGCTCCAGGGAAAGGTTTCTCCAGTGCAATACCTGTGCTCCAGCAGGGGAAGTTTCCCCAGCAAAGTTCTTACCGTTCTGCTCTTCTCCACTGTGGCTCCCCCTGCTCCGCTACATTCCTCCAAAAGAAGGTCTCACCCAAACCTCATCCAAGAGATTTATAGGGAGGGAAGAATTCAGGAGGGCAGCTGCCTCTGCCAGGGTGGAAAAAGGCAGCTCCCAACTGAGCAGGTACAGGGCTTATATAGGACTTCTCAGGGACAGAGTTTTTCCAGGGTGATTTTCAGAGTGGGAATTGGTTTCAACAAGCTCAGAGATTGGCTGCATCATGCTCAGAGATTGGCTCATTTCATGCTCAGAGATTGGCTGGTTTTGCGCTCAGAGATTTGACTGGTATTTGTACTGATTTGGTCAGGAACAGGGTGTGTTTCTTTGGCTCTGATTTCAAGGCCAGGGTGTGTTTCTTTGGCTGGCCCTTTTACCCTACAACATGGAGTTCATGGAAGACTTCTCTTAAGAAATCAACATGATCTCAAACAGTTCACAGATTCAGTACAAGCCCTAGCAAACAGTGATTACTACTGAAATAACCTGGTAAGTGGTCCTGAAAACCAAAACCATCTTAAATTTAAAAGAATATAATGTTGTCAGCCTCACCTTTTTTTAAGTTAATAATTAGATAGTTTTCTTTGACAGTTTCATACATACACATGATATATTGATTTTAAAATTTACCATGAAGCCATCAA